GGGGGGCGGCGCTGGAGAGAAGGAGAGTTATCCGGAATTTATGCATCGGCGGTGGAGGATATGGGACCCCCCCGGGTCTTCTCGTTGCTGCTCCTTTCTCCTCTCCTGCTCCACCCCCCCCCCCCCCCCAGGCGTTCGACCTGCGGCCCGAGCTGCACACGGCGGGCGACGGCAAGGAGCACCACCTCCACCTCTCGAGCGAGACCAAGCTCGACGTGCGCCACGTGAGCCCTTCCTGCACTCCGCCGCCCCCGAGAAGACCAGCATTCCTCGCTGCTCTATCAGTGCTCGCTACCTCATAGGTGAGCGCCTTCCTGCACTCCGCCCTCGTCCTCGTCGCCGAAGGCCTCGAGCCTCGTGGAGGGGAGGCGCCGAACGCACCGCCCGCGCCGTCGAGGCGGCGGCGGAGATAGCGGCCGCGCGTCGCCAGACCGGACACTTCCCTCGCGTTCGCACTCCCCTGTCAAATTAGCCCCATCCACGGCACCCAGCGAACTTGTTCACAACGTGTGTGTTCCTTCAGAGACGCCTCAACACGGCGGTCGAGGCTGGCTGTGCGCACAGGCTCGCCTGGCGGCTTGGGCCCCCGCGCCCTCTCGCGGTGCGGGTGGCGCCAGCGGCCAGGCCTCGCCACACCCTGGTCAGTGGTCTTGCACTCAGTACTCTCTCAGTCGGTCTCTTTTACCTCCCTGTACGCGAATACTCAATACAACGCGAGACGTTACAGCGCTCTCACCCTCAAACGTGAGACGTTACCGTGCAATCGTTTGGCCTAGCCTAGAGATGATGCGACATCGGTACAGTACGATCTGGTGAGCCCGCGCTGCCGCAGGGCGAAGGCGCGAAGCTTCAGCGGCGCTGGGGATGCGGATTCCGCCCGATATAAAGTATCGCCACATGCGAGTTGGATCGGCCCAGCTGACCCAAGAGGGTCGAGTGCGGCCTCTCACGCGTCCGCCTCTTTGCGGACCGCGTACGGCCCGCCCTGCGCGCTGCCGAAGCACGGCCCCAAGGTCAGAGGAGTGATGTGGATGCTATCCGCGAAGGCCCTCGTTTTCGCGACGACGAGCGGGTCGGTGCTCGAGTGCGGGATGACCGCCGAGACGGTGGAGGTGAAGATGTCCTCCGAAAAGTGGAGGGCACAAAACAGTTGCGGCCTGCCCGACGCCTCCGCAAGCTGCGACGGGAGCAGAGTGGTCGCGGCGGTGGTGAAGATCGTGGACGCGTCGGCAGCCTGGTGCAGCTTGGTGAAGACAGATATCTTGAGATCGAGGTCCTCGGGCAGACTCTCGACGACGAGGTGGACGTTGTCCATCGCGATCGCCGCGTCCGTCGAGTACGTCAGCCTGCTGAGCGCCTTGTCCGCAATCTTTCGCGCGGCTGTCTTGGATGTAAGTCTATCCCAGCTGCTCTGGTCGCTCCAGCTCACCTTGGGCATCAGCGGCCCCCACGCGGGGACAGACGGCGTGCCCTGGCTCATGTCCGTCGTGAACTGGTCGGAGAGGGCGCGGTGAGCGTCAGCCATTCTCTCGAGAGCGATCATCGACGGGTCCATCACCGAGGTGTCAAAGCCGGCTAGAGCGCACTGAAACGCGAGCGCCTCGCCGAGCGGCCCACCGCCGACGATGCCCACCTTCTTGGTCTGCGGCAGCCACGTCAGAGGGAGGCTGGCCAGAGAGCGGCGTTGCACGAGCGTGGCAGAGCGATGCATGAGGGGGGTGGCAGTGCTGGGGGGTGCCCCTTTCGCTTCCACGAAGTTTCTCTTTTTCTTTTTTGAGAGCGCCTTCGTTGTTAATAATACAGACGGATGGACACTTTTTATTTTGTTTTGAATTTCCCCACGAGTGGCGCACTGCCACTACCACAGGTGCATGTGCATGCACATGCACATGTCCTGTGAACCACGCTAATGTTTTTTTCACTTCCTGAAAAACAAAAGGAACAACACAGGGTCGGTGGCCCCCCCCCCAAGCCCCCGGGTTGTTTTGCGCCCCCCCGTCCTGGCAGGGCGCCAAGGCCCAAAAAATCCCCCCCGGCCGGAAAAAAGTTTGGTGTCGGTTGGTCAAATGGTGGTAATCCCCCCCCCCCC